TACTTTAAAAACAATATTTGATTAACAAATACTTCTTTGAAGTAACTCTAAGCAGAACATTTATTTGCTAAGTTTGTGAAAGCCTCTGCCTTTTCCCATACATGAACTTGTGATTCAAACACACAATTGATCCACATGCTTTAACTACTGTTTATTTGCACTGTTTATAACATGTAAAGTTATTTCATTTGATACTTAACAAAAGTGAATTTTGTGGTTATCTATGAGTTGCATATTTTGGTAGTTGAAGTACTGTATGTATGTCATTCCTCTGATTTGTTAGTGGAATAACGTTTTTAAAACTTATTTCTACTAGCTATCAAAAAATGTTATTCAATGGCCATTGTTTTCCGATAATCTCTCAGTACATTATTTGCATCTGTTGTGTAACTGTATTTGTTATTGATTCAGTTCTTGCTTTTTATAGCTAGTATTTAAATATTTGAAGATTTAAAAACAAAATATAATTTCTATTACTGATTTTTTTCATTGGGGCCATTTTTACCTACTTGTCATTTGGGCCATTTTTACTGGGGCCATTTTTACCAGGGCCATTTTTTCCGGGGCCATTTTTTCCTGGGCCATTTTTACCGGGCCATTTTTACCTACATTCGGCTGTGCCTATATAACATATTTTAAAAGAGACACTCTGGTACGCAGCTGCATTAGAAAGATAAATAGATATTTAATTATTGATGTTAAGTTTATCACTCTGTGGCAAACTAAGCAAGTCTCTTATTTTACATCTACTAAGGACCTTACTCCTGAGGAATACCGTAGCTCTTTGATTTATAAATTTGAATGCCCTGGCTGCAATGCCAGTTACATAGGAAAGACAGATAGATGCCTTAAATGAGCATGCTCTCAAATCAGATAGCAGTATTCATGAGCACATACAACAATGTGAGGGTTTTAAGCATATCATTGAAATCAATAATATTTTCCTGAAAAATGTAAATACTTCATCACTCAAGCAAACTTTAATATTTGATAATACTAAAATTCTATATGGCTCTCTACATTGGTCACAAATTTCATTTATGGAGGCTTTGGCCATTAGACATTTTAAGCCTGTTTTAAACACTGGGTTGAGAGCATCCAAGGATCTTTCATTATTTACTTAATTCTGAATTGTAATTATATCACATGTACTTTTCTTGAAAGCATTCTCTACTGTTTATAAAGTATATTTTATTTCACTGAATTATCTTATTGTTTATTTCATGTCATGAGACTTTCATTCAGCCAGCATTCCCAGGCTTGTTGAATACAGTAATTGTTGATTATTCATTGTTTATTCACAATAACAAGTGATGTAAGATGCACCTCATTTTTAATTACCTTGTTTTTAATTGGCTAGTTATAACTTTGATTTTAATCTGATTGGTCAGTTTTTATTTGCTTTCTGTTATACTTCTGTAAATATTGTAAACATACATGGATGGGTGAGATTTTCTCATCAGTATTCTTTTCGGAGTTACTGTCTTTTGTTTTAAAAAAGAGAGGCTTCAAAATATATTATTATGAAACGGAAAAAATAAGCGTACATTTAACAATTATATATTATTAAATTTAATGATTCCTCTACTATTTTCTATGTTATTATTCTTTCTTTTGACTATATCATTTTATGTTATATTGTACAGTATGCAATTTTGTTTTGACACAATATTCATTTACACAAATACTACACAGGAACGGATAGAAGCATAAGGGCTTGTTTCCAAATCAATTTTGGAGAGCACACTTAAAAATACTCAGCACAGCAGTCATGTAGAAGAATGACGTCAAAGCCTCATTAGTAAAAAAAAATATGCAAACAGTCTTTAACCATTATACTGGTACTTCCTAATTTCAATATCATACATTTTAGAAATAGAGTACTTTTTTCTACTAACAGTGCACAAAAAACTAAAATCCATGCCAAACAAAGTGTTAAAGATCACTACGATGTCTTTTTTTCTTACATACTGTATATCTTAATCTTTCCTCTGAAGGACATATGATATAGAAAAAGACGCTTGAAATTTCTTCCGCCATCAAACATTTTGTTCTGTGTGATTAAGTTGACAACACTCCTTAGCAATACCATTATTACATATTTTGAGTTCAATGTTTTAGAAGCACATTCTATTAAGAGTCTGCTACTGATAAAAAAAGAGCTGTTCCTCAGGCCCGTAACCAGTTCTTCAAAGGGAGTCCTCTAAGGGTGGGTTCAAGGGTCGAAGAAACCAGCGAGGTCGGTCAAACCACTAAAGCTAGAGGATTTTTGTTATGGGTTTAAATAATGCAATAAAAGCAGTTATGTTTGGAAAAGGTCTGCAGCAAAACATTCCGTCTGAGTCTGGGTCGGTCTGCGATGCATTAGTTGCGTTGGATGACTCTTTCAGGGAAATTAGAAAGGGTTCGGTAGAAAAGAGGATGTTAGCTAGAAAATGGGGGTTTTCCCGAACCATAAACCACACCCTCACCCCCCCCCCCTTCATGGGCCTGTTCCTTATAATTTATTTTAAATTATTCTTATTACTTAGTAGGTTATAAAAAGTTGTACGTATATGAACACGATGGGTAGTTAAACTTCTGAAACTGACAAGAAGTTTGGCAAATCCATAAAAAAAACTAATAGAGCTGAATAACAGATTAAAAATTCATAAATTAATTCTCCCAGCATTAGAGACACATAACATCTGTCTTTCCATGCAGTCTTTGATTACTGTAGTAAATAGGTTCCCACCTTTCCTTGCAATCAGATCACGATGAATTCTTAGTATCAACATTTTCCACATCTTTATAGAGACCTACCATTATTTATTCAAATAAACGCCCCAGGGTTGTTACTCTTGAGAAGGGATTTTGAGGGTGTGATTATTCAAGGAAGGCAATTATTCAAGGGAGGTGTTTATTTTTTTCTTTATGTATAAAATGGATACTTATATACATAAATAGACACACTTAATTTTGCTGTAAATGTGCAACTACAACGTATAATTACTGTGTTATTGCGTGATCATAAGACTTATTGATCCTAACCAGCTTAGAAAAAATCATTTCTACTAAATTGCAGTTGAACATTAATAGAATGTGTTAAGAATGTTGTTGCTTCTATAGTTTTGTTTACAGTCATTTAGGTGGGGTATGTATGCAAAGCGGCACGTTTATTCAAAGAAATACGGGATCTTTTTTGTGATCTGGGAGATATGACTGTCATTAAGTGCACCAGACCTCTTCACTTACAGTAGTATTTGGTGAGTCGAATCGCCGAGCGGTTAGCAGGGGCGCCGCCAGCTATATTCATAATATCGGCGCTGGTTCGAACGGCACGCTCGCCTATGGGTCTGGTGGTACAAGTCTTCTCAGATAAGGACTATAAACCGTAGGCCCAGTCTATACAATGGCTCGTGCGCACTATAAAGAATCCAGTACATCCTTCAAGACGAGTAGGGGGATACCCCGGTGTACTGGAACACTAGACAGCCCGTGGTGGACGACGAGAGTTGCTGGTACCGGGTTACCGGGAAGCACAGACACGAAGGGACCCTTAGGGGCAAAGAAAGTCATTGATCGAGTTCCTAGTCCACATATCAAGCGCCCTGAGCATCTTACATTAGATGGATATGTGCGCTATATAAAACTAAACTATTATTATTATTATATTCCATCTACATGACATGTCCAAACTAAAGATCTTTTCTGCCTAATACCAGTACAGAAATTCTGGCGGTGGCACCATCTCACTTCATGTACAAATCTGTTGGAATATACTCATAATGCTAACATTCAGTGCAGGTGTACTAAGACACTCGCATCCATACAGTTGGGACAGTCCCACACAATTTTTCTAATAGGTCCACAAAGAATGGGTCTACATTTTTAAAAACGGGTCTAAATTATGTAATTTTATGCATAAAATGGGTCCACTTTTTTAAAAAAATAGGTCCAGATTTCTCATATTTAGCTTAAAATGGGTAAAATTTAAGATTAGTCCAGATTTTTCATATTTTTTCGTAAAATGGGTACACCGAAAGGTCCACTGATTAATCTCAGATAAGAAAGTATAATACATACTCCAAGTATTGAAATACACGCCATCATGTTGGGATTCAATATTTCGACATTAGTTATCATTCCTGATGATGACATAATTAATGTCGAAATATTGAATCCCAACACGATGGCGTGTATTTCAATACTTGGAGTATGTATTATACTTTCTTAAATTGGTACACATTGTTTGAATTTACGCGTAAAGTGGGTCCACCCAGATATTGTCCCCGCACTGTTAGAAAATCCTGGCTACAGCATTGCATCTATATCTTCATAATTTTGAACTAGCAACTGTGTTTGTGGACAAATGCATTTTTATCTTCTTGATGCTCTCAAAGAACGACCTTCTTAGCACCTTACGCTACACACTCAAAGTTTATCAATATGGACTCTTGGACAAGACATGTCCAGGGCAGCACATCATCATGTGCCTCAATAGAGTATGCTCTCATTGCAAGTAGGTGAGATCAGTATATTTTTTTTTTTTTTTAATTTTTTTTTTTGAAATCCAGCATAGCTTATTATGAAATTCCTAATTTTTTTGTTTAAAAGCTGGACAATTAAAATCGGTTTGTTAATGAGAGACATGCAAATTCTCAAAGTAGGGTGCTGTCTCAGTAAAAGCAGGACAGTTTGAATTTATGTAAATACATTGTGAATATATCTTGACTATAACTATATATGCATATTATGATTAAAGAAGTTGATGAAAGAGGTAAGTAAAAGTGAAAACACAAATCTATACATCATTAGCTTTGACATGTTGGTTTAACAGCAGTTGATGATATAGCTTTGTCAGGGGCAAACATTCCTAGAGGGTTATTCAACATGACAAATTACATACAGTTACTTCGAACAGAAGAAAAAAAACAGTCCACAAATGATATGATTGAACAGAGATACAAATGTCTTATCAATCAAGCAATGATAAACCGCGTAAGCAGACATATTCTCACCTTGAATTTCTGTTTGACCCTCATTGACCCGACGCCGTTATTGAGTTTCTTGATGAGCTTCATAACCTCGATTTCGTCAAGTTGACCCAAAGGCTCTCCAGCTGCGTCATCAAAGACTGTTTGCAGCCACGTACATTGCAAGTTAAGGAGTAATACCAAAATATTCTATATTTACATTGATCAAAACACATACAGTAACAAAATTGATTACCGTACACTGGTATAGTGGACAAACATTAATTAAGAGAAAACCAAAAAAATAACAACAAAACTGAAAAAAAAAAAAATGTGACTCAAAATGTAATAATTTAACCCATAATGAAAAAAAAATGTTTGAAGAAATGCTATACAATATTGTGATAATATTTTACGCAAAATATATACAGGTATTTATATGACACTTGTTTAAAGAATAATGTATGGAGCAATAAATACAGAAATGCAGTTCTACAGTATCTAAAAAAAAAAGACTGAATAAAAATAAGTAGCATATATTTAGACAAATAAATACACAAATGGTGAGATTTATTGTGATGTTTGGACACCGATCCATCTGTGGCGGTTTGAAAAAACGATTGTCGATTGTCTGATTGTTATAAACAATATATTTATTTCTTCCACATTCAACAGCAAGTAACTCTCCACCAACAGGATGGAATGATACTTTATGAAGATCAGGAAAGGTGGGTGTCTCAAAAACAGAGATCCGAGACTGGAGACCCATCCGAAAACAGAGACCCAGAGACCCACCTAGTGTCTTCGAATGCCTGGGGTCTCTGTTTTTGAATGCCTGGGTCTCTGTTTTCATAATCGATACTCAAAAACAAACCCAGCTATAAAAAAACAGAGACCTCGAAAACAGAGACCCACTAAAAAAAAATTCAAAAAAATCATGTTAAATTAGTAATTAATTACACTCGCAAGGTATGCCTACCTATACTGTGAATTCCATCAACCGAAAATGAAGTATACAGAACCCATATTAGAACTTCAGTGATGATGATGATTACTCTTCATTTTGGCTTAAACTAAATGATCAATGGACAAACCAGATTTTACTTACAGTGTTTAAATGTTTAAATGGTAATGACCCTGAATATCTGTCTTCTAAATTCCCCTTCACCCACTCTGTTCATTCCTACCCTACTAGGAATCAAATATCAAATACTCTAGTTGAAGTTCCACATGCAAATTCAAACAGTGGTGAGCGTACATTTCATAACAGAGCAGCTCATCTTTGGAACAATCTTTCTCACAACAATCGTAACAATTTTATTCTTTTCTATTAATATGTTTAAAAAAGAGGCCTTTATCTGTATTTAGAAGACTGTACCTTTTTTATTTTGGTTTGGTAGTTTTCATTTGTCTGCTTTTCTTTTCAGTTTTAGGCTATCTTGTTGTTTTTGATTTACTTTTAGTTACTTTTGAATTTTCATGATTGTAAACATTACTTTTGTTTTTCTTGGATATATTCACTGTACTATATGTACTCGGGCTTCCTTGAAAAGCAGTGCTAGTCACTGAATGGATACCCCCTGGTTAAAGAAAGCTTGAATAAATAAATACATATAACTCGGTTTCACTTGATTCTGCCACAGTCCCAGGATCATTATTTGCCTAACTAATTATAATAATAACTATATTAGTCGTTAACATCTAACGATAGAGGATTTTAACTGTCACAGAAAATTTGCTTTCTTTGGAGAATTATTATTGTTGAGGTCGAGCAATGGCGGTGCCATCTTTTTTGTTGTTACGGTCAAGCTACGTGACCACAACGCGAGGGCATTTCGTGCAAATCAGGAACTGTTGCATGTGGCTAGCAAAACATGTTAATTTTGCCTTTTGGAAGCTAAGCGTAATGTCCCTTTAAATATTGAACACATTGAAGATACATCACACCTATTTACACAATCGTTTTTATTTCTTTCACTTTATCATAAGTTACAAAAAGCATGTTTTTAGTGGGGTAAATATTTCAAGTCGGCAATTTCGCCTGACCCTAGGCTGACTAAAAAAAAATCGGCCTGAAGAGGTGTAGTTTTAGTCGAGGTTCCTGTGATTTAGTCATAGTGCTAGTTTTAAGAAAACGAAATGACGCAATTTTGAAGTCTAGCTCGAACTACGATTAAAGTTCGTTTAAAGAATATTGAGGTATGTGTGATGTACATATAAACTAATTGGAGAAAGTAAATACAGTACATGTACAGTAGTGCAGTTCACTGATGTTGAATATGTTAAACATATTCATCTTGACATGACTGATAAAAAGTAAACATTCTGAGAAACTATTGATCAATAGTAATTGACTATGATAGACTATTTTATCCTCATGGCCAACGATACATCTGTTACATTTCAAGGCACTATGTAGACGTCCTCAATCATAATCCACAAGCTTCTTTCTGTAGTGTGGAGGCCAGTTGCTAATATATTCCAGCAAATTATTTACTATATATACCTTACGTACACAAGATAATTAACTATACATATTTTTTATAACATGGTGTGTTTAGGGTGAAAGTTGAAAATTACTGCATTGGTTTATAAAATTGTATATATTTTGCGTCACTACCTTTAAAAATTTTATTAGAAATCAAATTTGTTGCTTTATCAAAATGTAAAGGATGGCGGGGAAATAAACGAAGACGAATTTCAGTGTTGATGTGCGCTCAATTTCAAGTTCAAAAACATCAACAACATAGGCCTACAGTAATCTTTACTTTAAATTCAAGTTGTATAAATACCTAATCAACATCCATAAGGCATCACCAAATGCATCCAACAACGATTTACTCAATTTATGCTTAGATGACAATCGTGTCACATAAACCGACCGTCAATCATACCTGTCCTATTAATTAATCACACGAGAGCGTATCATGAAAAGCCAAATGACTTTGTTCAATCAATCTAAACCCCGAGATTAGTCTTAAACAGCTTAATCTTCATGTTACATGAGCTGGAAAAGACCTTTCATTCCTAAAGCAATTATTCTCTTCATTTAACTAATGTTATTTTGACAAGTCATGCATATACTCCTCAACTAACGTATAATTTGTGTTTTGAATTAATAGGTTTTATCTATGGAAGACCCGCAGTGGACCGCATCACTACAATAGCATTACTAAATTACATGTAGGTGTGAGATTGGAATACTGCATAAACAAAGCATCACTTAAAACCTTAAGAACTAGAGCAGCAAATCTTGATTTACGAAACTGGTAGTAGTAGTAGTCATATTGAATGCACTGAACTATGGAGGTCCATTGTACCTGGCTCAATTCCCCCCGCTTCTCTCTGTGTTTCAGAAGGTCCAAAAAAGTGCACCGAGACGTTTATGCTGTTGGTCCCATGAGAGGTTTATGCTGTTGGTCCCGTGCCCAATACGGCTCATGTTCACACAGGAAAGAGTGAGAATTGTCAGCCTGTATGCGCAATCAACACAAATACCCTATTGTAAATAAATCTTTATATTTTTGTGGATTACTTTTTTGTGTTCACGCTGAATAAAATCAACTTCACTCTTTCCATCACCACCTGTTTTTTTGTTTTTTTTCAGGTCTCCTATAGAGAGCTTTGAATGTTGGAAAAAACAAGCTTTAACTCTAATATATCGGTAATACTCAAAGCTACAAAAATCTGCATTATAAATACCGTAGCCAAAAACTGCAGTGGCCACAGAAACAAAGAAGTGGCTATAGAACTTTTCTTTTCAGAGCCCAACACATCAAAAACAAAGTCAACTAGCTACACAAAAAAAAGTCACCAACATTAAAAAAGAAGGAACTATAGCGCTCTTACGTAAACATATGTTATTGAAGATTACAGTATGTTAATAGAAGACTAGGATCAAAGCATTCATCTTGTAATTATTAGTATGAAAAGTCAATTAATGGCTTTGGAATACTGGAATAAATTTGGAGAAAATCGTAATGTTATAATCAAGGTTATAATCCTATAAAACAAATGACAGAAGAAAATAGGTTAATATGTATTTGAACATTAGTGGTTTATCCATGGTGTTTACACCGAATAAATCCATCTTATCCTATCCATCAACTGTATACGACAATATTTCTATTATGTATATTTATTAAGTTAATATTAATTTAATAAATATAGAGTATTTGTTGACCTAAATGTGTATATCTATATAAGTTTTAAGCATTTAAATATTACCATTTACATTTGATGAAAATCAGCTAACTGCTGCCAAATCAAATATTGTTGAATAAAGAATAAAACCAGAACATTATTTTCATAAAACATATAAAAAACTACATTGATTACACTAAGCAAAAATTTAATTTTTTTTTTTCAAATTGATACATAATTATAAAGAAATAACATTTAATAAATATAATATATAATTAGTATTTAAAGGATATCGATCTCGCATGTCTTGCTGCTCGTCATTTTCGTTCGGAGCTGTAAAAAAAAGACATTATACTGGATGTTAAATGTATCATTTAGTACATCATTCGTCATGGTATATTTTACAACGGTGACAATCATTCTGCAATTGCTTATAAAGCCTTTGCATATTAGAAAAAAAGCTGAATTACAATAACTCTTCTGTAATTCAAAAAATAAAACCACCCAAACAAAAATTGATGTAATAACAAAGCTATACTCAAATCTCATTGTATGTGGATTTTGTCTGGAGTCACGTTTCTAAACATTTTTGTCAATTCAAGGAGGGCACTTTTTCACTTTTTATGCTTGTACATATGTATATTTATCCAAAAATAAAATTTGAATTTGAAAATAGTAACAAATTTTAAAAAATTAGGTAAAATTAAGTTTAAATCTAAAGATCATAAATAACAATCATACAAATATAAAAAAAAAAAATTAAAAAAATATTTATTTATTTTGCTTTACTTTAAGATATATTGGAGATGGCAGGTAATACATGGCACTTAACTCATATTATCGATTTGATTCAACTATCATTATTTTTTTTTTTAAATGCATTAAAATTTAAGACTTGATTTTGACCAAGTGTAGCTGTTGATGTAATCTAAATATTGTGTATGTCAAGCCAAATTGAAAAAAAAAATAGGAAAAAATAGATGCAGTCTTTGAAGCCGGCAGGATGCATTTACAACGTCTAGCATCAACATCACATGAAGTGCCAATTTAAGTCTTGATTACTGCTAACTATGACTTCCACATCTCAACAAATAATCCCAAACATATGGAAAATAAGTATAAATAGGTAATATGTTTATTGCGTTTCTTAGCAATAATCATAGAGACATGAAAGGCCCTTGATCTCTCTTCATCTCAAGACCTACGCAGTTGAGTCACTGGATTTCCGATACCATATTTATCGATGACTCGGAATCTGCGTTTCAAAGTGCGATTAAAATAATAGTGTGTAGAAGTGAGAATTATTAATTTATATTTGAAATACTATTTCTATTGATTTCCAGAGAGTTTAACCTACTTTTGCGAAAAGATCAACGAACTATAGAATTCATATTGCTAATTAAAATTTAACCTATTATTTATTCTTTCTCAGAACATATTGTACTTCAAATTAATGGCCGTTTGTTTGATGTGTGAAAAAACACATCACTTCATTTCCCAGGAGTGAGATAAAGATATTTCCATAATACTGTAAAACCTCGAATTAAAAACCAATGGGTTTAATCGTGAGAAGAAGCCCATCTCCAATTGAAGCCCCTCTTTTGTTTGCAATATTAGCCTCATACAGGCTTCTTTTCAAGACAGCATAGGTTTCTCTGTTTGAAATACATACATACACTGTACATGAATATCAAAAAACAAAATAATTATTTAAATTTGACATCTACATACTAAAAAGACAATAGTGTATCTTCTAAAAAATGAGCTTCATCCCAGACCCCACTTACTGTACACCTGTCACTAAACCCCACTAAAGCTATCATTTAACCCTGGACCACATTTAAAAGCCTGACCCAGTAGGAATACATCACTTCTAAAACCTAATTGATCAACAACAAACAAGGCAATTGGTTTTATAAAATTGTAAATACCAAAGGACAGATATAGTAATAAAAATAATCTTAGAAATACTTCTGATTACAGTAGTGTTAAAGCTAGGAGAGAGAGAGGCGAGCTTACTGTAGCTCTGTCGGCTAATCTGGTGGTAGCCACTGTGTGTGCGCTGAACCATGGAGATCTCTAGGTCCCCGGTTCAATTCCCATCACTTCCTCTCCTTGTGTTTCAGCTGGAGGGCTGAAATACAAGTTACAATAGCGCACCGGATGAGACATTTAAGCCGTTGGTCCTATGTGCATTTATGGCCCATGTGCATGTTAAAGAATGCCGCAGTACACTCATCGTAGGGGATTGCCTCCCGGTGTACCAAATCACCACCAGATGGACCCCACTGAAAATAAGTCTTCTTCTAGACTTTCACGGGCTATCCTTTGTGTTTACACCAAATAAATCTAATCCAATCATTAAAATAATTTGATCGGATTAGTAAATTATTCTGTTATTATTATTTTTGACCCCAGGTGGAAAAACCCACAATTCAACGGTCCTAAAATGCCCATTTCACACTTGACTCCTAACAGGAACCATACAGTACATCACCCCTCCAGACCAGCAAACATCTTGTAAGCTATAGTTAGCTCACGAAACATATAACCGGCACACCATTATTAATGCCATAGGGCCCTACTTTCTGAGTGACACTACTGCACTTTCAATTTCCAAAAAGTAGGCCAACTTCTGAAAAGGTTCAGAGTATATGAACATCTATAAATAAAGATGTATGGTATGAGTATTAATGTGTGTATATCAGGAGCTTTCATCTGCAGTGGATGGTTTAACCCTTCTCTATGGTTTGACATGAAAATTGGTTCAGACAAAAATATACCTTTCACATAATCAAAGCTTATAAGAAAGAAATCATAGAATCTCAGATATTGGACCCAAGTTTATAACTGTAGTTGCTCTGGTATAAGCCTTCTCCCCAGCCTTCTCCCCCCCCCCCAATTGAATGCAAATTGGGCCAATTTTTGGGAAAGGGCTTATACCCTGAGGAGTCCAATTTTTACCAAAGAAAAAAGTGTTCATCAAAAGGCAATATTTCAACACTGTATGCCAAAATGAAGTACATTCTTTCATTTTTTTCTGAAAGTTTTTGATCAAGTCTGTTGAGATGTACTCACTAAAATCATATTCTGGGCTTTAAGTTGGAGAAACCCTGGTGCAAAAAAAAAAAAAAAAACAAATTGGGCTGAAAGTAGGGGGCAAGCTTATAAACTAGTTAGGCTCATACTCGAGGTAGGACAGCATGGATACTGTGGCCAAACTAATTCCTCCATGGTGTGACAAAGGATATTATGCCATTGGCGGAAGTAAAATTATGCTACAGATGCTACGCTCAAATAGTGGATACAAGACTGCCGTGGATTTAACAAACATTATTTTTTGTACTTATATTACACAGCAGTCTGGTATCCAGTACTTATGGAGTTCAAAATATAATTTTTTTGGCTAAAATTTGATTTAATACATTTGCTGCCACACCCCCTTACCTAATTGCCTTTTTAAAAAATAATAAAAAATTATGCATGGCATTATGTGCTACATGCTACTAAGGGTCCAAATAATGCCAAAAGGCATAATTATGCTACAAATGGCCACTATGGAGGTGGCTCTCATTCGAAGAACTACGGAATATTTTGTCAGTAGAACCCTTGATTATGAGGATCCACAACCAAAATCCACACGCTACAGACTACCAGTGTAGCTGCCACTATTGCTTCATTGCTTGTCGTATTGATATACCGTAGTCGGGGAATTGATTATCTAAATTGTCTAGTTTTGAAGACAAATCTACAAATTACACAAATTCCCTGAAGCAATGCATACTTTGTCTGAATTTCATGGTCACTTTGAATATATGCATTACATAATCTTTTGTATCTAAAACAAAAGATCTATTTGCAATTTGTTATTTGCAAACTGCAGATAGTCGCGAAATACTAATCCTTTGATTTATTACAATGACAATGATCTGGGTTGGTGCTTGAGATTTTGTTTAGTATGCTTGACCTTAGACACTGGTATATGGAGTTTTAATAGAAAATTAGCTTGTTTTCTTCACTTCTCCCATTTTTTGGGGGGTAGGGGTAAAGAGCCTTAGCTTCCATGGCCCTACTGGAATTGCCACTGATGCTAACCTAAGTCTCTAAATGAATGTAGGACATAAACCACCCAGGACGAAAACCACCCAGACGAAAACCACCCAAAATGGAATATACCATTGTTAAAGTAGGATGGGCAGTGGGGTGGACAATGTTGGGTGGGCCTGTTTTTATCAGCTTCACAATAGGATAGATTACACTGTGACTTCCTATTATACGCCTTTAATTCATTCAACTCTCTTGACATCATGCATGTATGTTAATAATCATTATAGATTTTTCCAGATTTCAGTAATCACTGAGCTTAAAGTTTGATGGAAATTCAAATGTAAAATTATAGTAAAGTTTTAATACACATATTAATAGTATTTGTCTAATATTTTAGTATTCTAAATTTATTTAAATTTCTAAAAGGACATATCCCTACTTCCTTTAACAATGATTTAATAATAATAGTTTGAATGTAAAAAGTCATATCCATCCATGAATGTAAGTTAGGTCTTACTATATTATCTTTTTATCTGTTTTGATACAAACTTTAAGCACAGTACTGAATACAAACTTTAAGCACAGTACTGAGATCTACAACATACATGCATGTTGTCAAAAGAATTTCATATAATAGGAAGTCACAGTGTAATCTAACCTATTGTGAAGCTGATAAAAACAGGCCAATCTACCATTTTGGGTGGTTTTCGTCCGGGTGGTTATTGTCCTGGGTGGTTTATGTCTGATTTCCCTTGTGAAATAAATTGCAAGGGATTCAGGTGAGAATCGAACCCATGACCTCCAGGTAACTAGTCTGGTGTACTACCATAACCATCAAGTTTACACTTCCAAATTACCACAAAGGGTACTACAAAAATATTTAAAGAGAATTGTGTCCAGAAAAATAAATTTGTTTTCTTACAAATATTTGAGGCAGTACTGTACAGAGCATTTAGTGTGATTAACATATCAGGTTGGTATAAAACATCGTTCATAGTTTCCTGTCCCAAACATCTCTGGAAATATTTTAATCATATTACAACTAATTTCAGTAAGCGATATTTCATAGAATTTGACATTCTAACAAATTGCCAAAGTAGGTACGTACTTAAAAACCATGCTAAAAAGTAGCATGAACTAGTTACTGGAGTATAAGTTGAACCCTGAAAACACGGCTTAAATATTTGTTTAAAATTCCTGGATTATACACGCACATCAATTTGAAAATTGAAATGTGGCAATTAAATTTAACATACTGTTAATGTTTTTCTCAGAATATATTGTAC